AGCCTGTTGACTTTATCACATGCACTGATGTATAGCTGCAGGCTCTGTTGTAACAATTTGCATAGGTATAATCTTTAGTTGTTAGAAGGCCTCTCTTCCTTCTAAATGAATGGCTCTGACTTGAAAATGTCTCGATGACTTAATATACTTAAACTTTGTGCTTAGAATATAAATTTTTATTGTGTTGATTTCTTGAAATCTGAACATTTAGGAAAATTTCTGACCTTTATTATTGGACTAAAATATTTAAATATGACAGAGAACATCAGGAAATGATTAAAGTATAGCTTTAAGAAGCCATTCATGTTATTTTGTCTTTAAAGCTAATTCACTAATACACATATTTTCTTGGGATACTTATTAGGTATTTTTTATTTACAAATTTTAACAGTATTGCTTGCATGAAAATAATGTAGTAACCACGAGTTCAGGCTGTGAAATGAAATTGGTGGGTCCAAATCCTATCTATACCATTTAACTGTTAAATCTTAGGCAAGTTACTTAACCTTTTCTTTTTTTTTTTTGTTCCTAAAACTGTTCTGAGGATTGTTGTACAATGAAGTAGGAAAGCTGAAAATGGGGTCTGGCACATAGTAAGCACTCTGTAAATGTTTGCAATTACAGTGGTGGTAGTGTGCTGGGACACTAGGGATACAGCAGTAAATAAGACAGTGTTCTTACCTTTGTGAAACTTTCACAAGACAAAAATAAGTATGCAAATAAATATCCCAAATAATGGCAAGTTCCATGAAGAAAAATGTAGCTAGGTTAGGGATAGAGAATGATGGGGGAGCAGAGCAGGCATTAAAGGATTCTCTGAGAAGATAACATTTCACCCACATGAAACGAGGCAGCAAGCTGGAGAATTGTTCCAAGAAGAGGGACAACCAGCATAACAACACCCCTGAGGCACGAATAAGCGTAGCATGTTCAAGGGTTGGCATGTAATGAAAGATGCTGGTAGGAGATGAGGTTAGAAAGAGAAAAAGAGCTTGGCCATGGTGACATGTTAAGGCCTTAAGATTTTATTCTAAGTGTGAGAGAAAACTTAAATGAAGGTTTTGACCAAAGGAATATTAAGATTTGATTTATGACATTTAAAAATATCACACCACTGTGTGTCTTTGTAAATAATTCATGCACTTAACCAGAGGTAGAATTTTCTGCTTTTTTTTTTAACAAAGAATTGTTACCTGATTTGTTAGAAACTATATCCACTTTAATCAACATTTAAATTTATTTCTATACATTCAGACTGTCTTTTTTGAAGTTTACATCTTAAAAATTGATTCTGATGTTAAAAAATCATGTACATATATGTAATCTAATGTTGGGTACTATTGACAGTATTCACTTTTCAATTTCTTTAGAAAGTGAAGTTTAACAGACTTAACCTATAAGACTATCATATCTGGACATAAGAAGCTGTCATAAAATGAATGTGACTACTACCTTGCATACAGAAAAGCTTAAGTAAAAAATAAGGAGGTATTCAAAGCCTATATATTGAACAAGAATCTTGAATTGCTGCTGCAAAGAATATGTGAGGGAAAGTGTGAAGCAACTGGACTGGAGTTCAGATACCTCCTTTTCTAGAGAAATACGTAGATCTTGAGTTTGGCAGTCTGACAGCCACTGCAGGAGAATTCATATCTCTCTAATTGTTGCTGTGTGTTGGGGTGAGAAATAAATATCTAAAATAGGAAAACACTCTAATTTCTTTTTTTTTTTTTTTGAGACGGAGTTTCGCTCTTGTTACCCAGGCTGGAGTGCAATGGCGCGATCTCGGCTCACCGCAACCTCCGCCTCCTGGGTTCAGGCAATTCTCCTGCCTCAGCCTCCTGAGTAGCTGGGATTACAGGCACGTGCCACCATGCCCAGCTAATTTTTTGTATTTTTAGTAGAGACGGGGTTTCACCATGTTGACCGGGATGGTCTCGATCTCTTGACCTCGTGATCCACCCGCCTCGGCCTCCCAAAGTGCTGGGATTACAGGCTTGAGCCACCGCGCCCGGCCAACACTCTAACTTCTAAATGGAAGTCGTTATTTCCTGTATTTTCCTGAATCCTTGAGAATTAATTACCCTAGTACCAGCAGATGTCATAAAAGTGTTTCTCATCTATGGATCTGACCCATTTTAGACAACTTTCTGAATGTTTCCATTTGTTTTTGCAAGCTAGTCATTTCCTTCTTTCTTTAGAGTGGTGGTTAGAGGTCCAAAAATACCACCTACACACTTTTCCCGAAAAGCTTTCTATAGAGATCTTTACTTCTTTGGAAAGCAAGCTTCTCAAGTATCTCCATTAACCTGTAGGGCACTGGTGCTGATGGCTACCCCATGGGTTAGATAAGTGCAGAAAATAGTGCTTTATATTCGGCAAGCCCAGAACCAGGAAAAGAAATGTTCTCTAGGTAAGAATTTCCCATCCTGGAGGGATCCAAATGAAATGTTATTGCTAATTAAGTTATGAAGTTAGAATGATTGTGACACTATAGAAAATTGGTAAGATAGTTTGCTGCCCAAAGACTTGTTTGCAAAAACACTGTTTTATTGGTCTCTTTTATTGTGTCCAGCTAGCTAAATGTGGTCTTAAGTGGTGTAATATTTTCTGTGTCACAGTTTTCTGCCAGTGTAAGAGATTTCTAGTATGACTAGAATGTAAAGGATGTATACTGGCCCAAGCATGGAGAGCTTAGCTTTCATTTCAGGTGTGAATGTTTCCAGTATTTATTAAATCACAGGTGTCTGATTTGTGGCTTAGCTCCTTAATGAGCCTGAATCCACTTGAAGCATCAGAATCCATTCATTAAGTGTTTGGAAAGAACAGTCATTAGCCATCAACAGAAGAGGAGTTCAACTCTGCAAAGATCTTAGATGCCATGGTATCAAGAAAACAGGACAGGCAGATGCAGACTCCTAAATTGCTGTAGCCTTAGAATGTCATGCTTGCCAAAACATGTTTTCCGTATGTCTAACGTATGGATTCCTGATAAATAGGAATTTTAAAATAATAAATAGGAATAATAAATTAACAGGAATTTATTTTAAATTCCTTTATGTGAGGAATTTACATATTATAAATTCCTAGATACCATTTTTTTAATAGGCCAGAAAGTGAAAGTAGGGGCTCCTGTCAGTTAATCTAGAGCTTGTCTTAAGGTACACACACACACACACACACACACACACACATATACACCCTTTAAGGCTGTGATTTAAGAGTAATGAAAAGTTATTTCCATGAGATTGCTATCTGTCTGTATTTTATGTTTCCTTGTAGTTGGATTTGATCACCGATCTGTTGGGCACACCATCACTGGAAGCAATGAGGACAGCTTGTGAAGGCGCTAAGGCACATATACTCAGGGGTCCTCATAAACAGGTGAGAGGAGTGGGGGGATCTTTTTCTGGTAACCATCTGTTTGGGCAAGATTTCTCTTCCAATAGAATAATCTATTTAGGGTTTTTAAGCAAATGTATTATTTGTAGGTTTTTTTTTTTTTTTAAACGTCATGGTTCTAAGTAAGAAAATGTTCAGTATTTGTCAAACTAAATAAAATCTCCTCATTCCTGATGCCATAGGAGAAAGTGCATGTTTTGTAGCTCCTTTGCTAATAAATGACCCTTGGCTTTGTGTCTCCTGATTTGGTGGTATAGATGGGAAAAACTACTGGAGATGGAGCTTTGACCTCAATGCCATAACCTAGTATATGTATATCAAGATGTCCTTTCCAAATACTGAGCCAGTATAGCTGGTATTTCTTATTCCAGCCAGGGATGTGAAGCTGTTGCTATTGCACTAACACAGAATCAGATGTCACTGTTGTTAGAAAAGAAGAATGAAGATAGATTGCCAGATTTGTACTCATCAATATTACTTGCAACTAGCCGAGTCACTGCTGAGAAAGAAAAGATGGTTTTTTATCTCCACCTGTTGATTTAGCAGCAGTTTTTACAGGCACTTTCTTATTTATTTATTTATTTATTTATTTTTAAAGATGGGGTTTCACCATGTTGGTCAGGCTGGTCTTGAACTCCTGACCTCAGGTGATCCGCCTGCCTTGGCCTCCAAAGTGCTTGGATTACAGGCGTGAGCCACCACTCCCGGCCTTTTACAAGCACTTTCTAACCTCCTTTGGACAGAACAGCTTAATGATGTGAAGACTGAATAAGGTGAATACTTTTCTTAGGAGCAACAAATTAAAACAGAACAGATAAGACTTGAACAGGATGACCCAGCAACAAATTTTCCTAAGTTTTGGTTTCTTTTGAATTGGACATTTAGATTATCTGATTGATAGTACCAAATGACAGAATGAATTGGACACTTCTCCTCAAACTGTCAGCCAGACATTTGCAAAAGGAGCGCCTCACCTTCCTTTTGCAGTTCTCTGTTTGCAATTCTAGTGTGACTCCAGAGCTTTGTTGTCACAGGCATAAAAGGCAATGAGGTAAAGTGTGTTCTCTTTTAAAGCCAGCCCAGGCTAGCAAATAGAGATGTATGCTTGTTTATTAAATAGCCCCCTGATGATTACATCTTTCTGTTGCATTTGGTTTAGAACTGTAAAATAATATGAAGCCCTAACACCCTTAGAAGAGAGCAGTAAATCTTAACCTAGAGGAAAGTTCTGTATTATAGAAGGAACTAACAAGATCTATTATGTTCCATTTATTGGCCAGCATCAGGAACATTAAACTAATTTACTAATGCCTCTTGGTAAATGTGTCCTTAGAAGTAGCAAAACAGTTGTCCTCTTTCACTGACTTCATTAATTAGTAAATCTTGCCTAGTTCAAGGTAAACAATAATGAAAACTGATGAAGATCAGACACCCTTATGTCACCCTTCTGTCTCTAGAGGATTTTTAACTGTTGTTAATGCATGCTAGTTAATTAATCATCTGTGTCAAAGAGTTGCTAAACAGCAGCCTGAAGAACAAGGAAACTGAGGAGTTTCCCATCTGCTGTCTAGATAGAACAGGTCAAAAATGTAACTTACCTTACCAAAAGTCACTGTGCACTGCTCTGAGTATTCCTGGCAATTGAGTACTTTTTCTGTGAAAAATTAAAAAATCTGTTAGTTGTAAAAACCTAAGACTTTCCATGAAATAAAAAGTAATATATTATTTTATAAAGCAAAAGAAGAGGAAAGGAAAATCTGAAGTTCCACTTTTATTTAACTAAATAGGTTGAGATGTCTAACCAAATCATTTCTTATACATTTTGCTATTAATTGACCTTTTATCAGTAATGCCTTTGCTTGTCACTGAGTTTAGTGATGACCTTAAGGGAACACTGTGGTAAAAGGGGCAGCCCTGTCCAGTCTTGGTGTTGGAATATTTTGATTTTGAAGAGAAGACTGGTGGAGTGAAAACTAGTTAGGAGACCATTTCTGTTTAAAGGCTAGATGCACTTTGCAGAGACTTTAAGGTCTTTAGATGGCTTTTATCTACTGCTAGAAATGGCCTCCTTAGGCAGATACTCATGGTCTTTGAACACTAATCCAGCTAGATGTGTATAAAGTTATACCAGCCATATATAATTGAATGTAAATAAACCTAGCATATTGCCTGTTATCATTTTCCCTCCAATATGGAAATTCAGTTTTTCATCTGTGTTTGCTAATTGATCTTTATATCATCACTGCTCTCAAGAGATGTTAACAGGTTCTTGAAGCTCTTTACTTAAGCCACCAATCAGATTCTACCTTTTCACTTCCCACTCCCTGCCCACTCACCAATTACAAGATGCATGTCCTGTGTGCCTCTTATTGGCCTATTAGCAGCTGCTTGAAGATATCTCCATTCATATCATAGCTATTTACAGCTGAGGTTGGAAGACACCTACACACAAAAATATTTGGTATGTAGTTACCTGGATTTTTTTTTTTTTACTTTAAAAGATTAATTTGGTCTTTGGAATAACAATATAGCTTATGTTTCTGTACATCATGACTTTTCCGCAAAATGTATAGTGTTTAGCTTTGTGCTCTGCACAGGTTATATACTGAATTTATAACCTCTGGACTGTAGTGATTAAGAGTGCAGACGGTGGTGCCAATCTCAGGTTTACCACATTGCACATGTTTTGAATGGTGAACTGGGAGTTGTACAATACAATTTTCAGACGGATTGAGTATGAATCCTGGCTCTACTAGTACCTCCCTTTGTGACTTAGGCAGATTATTTAACCTCTGTATATCAGTTCATTCATATGTAAAATGAGGATTTAAAATGGTTTTACCTCATTAAATTATTATAATGATAAAAGAGCTAATGCATGTAAGGAGACCACAGAATAGTGCCTGGCACATAGAAAACATTTAATAAATATTAACAATTAAAGTTATGACTCTAAAACAGCAAATGAAGCTTGTGACTTTTTAAAAATTACACATGATCAAGTGAGGTTTATCCCAGGAATGCAAGGATGGTTCACCTACAGAAAATATATTAATATTTTATAATATCTTCAGTGAGAAAAATCATGATTATCTCAGTTGACACAGAAAAGGCATTTGATAAGGTTTAGTCTATTTTATGCCTTAACATTTTAAAGGATCTTTACAAAAAATCTATAGAAAAATTTTGGGTGAATTTCTTTTAAGCTTATGAATAGTAGAAAATGAAGTATATGATACTTTGCATGAAAGAAAAATGTGTGCACACAGAAAGAGCCTCTGACTTTTAGAAAAGACTCCTAGTAATCCTCAGTGATGCTGCTTAGGCCAGTTGGAGGTCTTCATTTAGAGGACTAACTGGAGCAAGCTGTATCTCACTGTATTTATTTTAAATTACTTAATCTAGGAATATTAGATTGATGGTGTTTAAACTCATGAAGAATACTTCTAAAAGTTCAATCAAGTTTTTTGAGTTTGGACTGAGAAAAACTAAGCTTCTTTCAAGTAGTTTTCATCTAAGTAATTACTCAAAAGTTAGACATAAATTATTATTTTTTAAATAATTTCTAACAATAATTAGAACTTTGCTATGTACTGTACTGATCACTTCTTTTTTTTTTTTGAGACGGAGTTTCGCTCTTGTTATCCAGGCTGGAGTGCAATGGCGTGATCTCGGCACACTGCAGCCTTTGCCTCCTTGGTTCAGGCAATTCTCCTGCCTCAGCCTCCTGAGTAGCTGGGATTACAGGCATGCGCCACCATGCCCAGCTAATTTTTTGTATTTTTAATAGAGACGGGGTTTCACCATGTTGACCAGGATGGTCTCGATCTCTTGACCTCGTGATCCACCTGCCTCAGCCTCTCAAAGTGCTGGGATTACAAGCTTGTGCCACCGCGCCCGGCTGAACACTTCTTATATATTACCTCATTAAATTATCACAATAACACTATAATGTACCATTACTATTCCTTTTTACAGATGGGAAATGGAAGATTAACGGAAGTTAAATAACATTTTTAACATCATAAACCAGATCTTAAAATTAGGTTTCCTTAACTCCAAAATCTATGTTCTTAGCTAGTATATACTGCCTGGCACCTGTATCTTCACAGCAGATTTATTAAAATTTCATTTTTTATATATGTTAGTAATCTGTGAGAACATATAAAGTAAAACAAAAATTTTACAGCAAGTTAGTTTTCTGCAACTACCACCCCCATTCCCAGTCCCATCTGGATTAACTTAAGAATATCTTTCCAGATATATATTCACATATTTGTTTACATGTATTTGTACAAATAGAATATTGGACTTTCAAAAACATACAGTGGACTCTTAAGCAATGCAGGGGCTAGGGGTGCCAACTGCACCCCCTAACCCCCTGCCTACAGTCAGAAAACCATGTATAAGTCAGTTAACTCGTTTTGTATATGTATTATATACTGGTATTCTTATAATAAAGTAGGCCAGAGAAAAGAAAATGTTACTAAGAAGATCATAAGAGAAAATGAATTGACTATTTGTGTGTAAGTGGATCATCATAAATGTCTTCATATTGAGTAGGCTGAGGAGGAAGAGAAAGGAGGGGTAGCAGAGGTCAAAGTGGTGGAGGAGGTGGAAGGAGAGTCAGGCACACTCAATATAACTTTTATTGAAAAAAAATTCACATCTAAGTAGACCCATGCAATTTAAACCTGTGTTGTTCGAGGGTTAACTATATACATATACAAAAGGAGGACCTAATTGACTGTCATCTTAAAGTCACAGATTAATGTGTCAAAAAATCTCGAGCTACAACCAACTTCAAGCCCTGTTAGAATTCAGGTCGTGACATGATCTTCCATGCCAGGAATCTGACTCCTTCTCTGCTCTGCTTTCCTGTGTTTTGGCTTCATTTTCAGACAGGCTTTCTCCATGTGTTTGCAAAGATGGAGCCAGCGGTCCAGGCCTACGTTCTGTTACCATAACTATCCTCTGGAAAGAGCTTCCCAAATAGCTCCAGAAAAAAATATTTGAAAGATTTTTTATTAGGAATATGTTTGGCTGCAAGTAGTAGAAAATTATAGCGGTTCAAGAAATAAGAGTCCACTTTTTCCTCATATCAAGAGGTTTCCTCCATAGTCTGGAGCTGATAGAGTAGCTTACTTGTGTCAAGGATCCAGCTATTTTTAATTTTCTGTGCTGCCATCTTCAGAATGTTGCCTGCATACTGTGTGGTGACTAGTCACCATATAGCTGTAGCTGTCAAGAACACACATCCATATTCAAAGCAAGAAAATGGAGGAAAAAGGGTGCATTCACACTATCTGTTCCCTTGATCAGGAAAGCAAAAGCTTTCCTAGAAGCCTGCTTAGCAAACTCCTGCTCATATGTCATTGTCCAGAACTGTGTCTTATGTGGCCTCCTAGCTGCAAAACAGGCTAGCAAAGTGAGTATTTAGCTTTCCTGTTTTATATAATAAAGTTAGCTAAGGAAAGAGTGTTGAGGGTATATATTGGGTTAGCCATCCCATTGTCCGTCCCTTGCCTGTCTGAGACAATGTGCCCATCCTGGAGCTAATCATGGTGCTCATTTGATTGGCCAGACCTGGGTCAAGTACTCATCCTTGGAGTTAGGAGATTGCAGTCAAGCCCAATCAAACCACTTGGTTTGGGAGTGAAAAGGAGTGTTTCCCTAAAGGTCAGGGAATGCTGGACAGAATAAAACACTGTGTGGTGTTTTAAGTTTATTATCTCTTTTCTCTAGCTCAAAATCTTGAATGAAGGAAAGCTTAGCTGCCACAGCCTAAATATCTATTAAGGAAGAATAGTTAAGGTACTACTAACCTGTTGATAGGACAGAAAAGTCTATTGCCAGCTCTTAGTCCTTTTGTTCTTCTCTTACAATAAGGTTTAGGTCTTCAGTTTTCCTCAGTTTGTTCCCACCTAATTGTGTCAGAAATAGATACAGTATTTTTGCTGAAGTGAAGATGGTTCTGTCTCCTGACAGGAACCGTATCTTACATATAACAGACTCTAATGAAGTTAGAGAATTCATTCAGTTCAAACTGATTTTCTAGATAGGGGTTTATGTCACCCCAGAGTGCTTACTATTGTGGACTCACTGTGCATACTCACCTAATGTTGCTGACTGATCATCATAGCTTCTTTGCTGCCAGCTAAGGTCTAAAACTTATACGTAAGTGGATGAAAACTAGTAGGAACATCTACTCGGGACACTTTCATAGTCCAGCTGACTCTGCTGTAGCAACCAGCATGTTGCAGTTAGCAACTCTGGCATATTATTTACAGCCATTCACCCAAGTCCAGAAGCTCATCTCTGCTTCATTTAATTAATCATAGTCATTAATAGAGCACTCTTCATACCCCTTCCTGTCCTCATGATTCAGCCCTGGCACCTACTCACTCCCACATTGCTAAGTTACTTATAAACTTGATGAACAAACAGAAAATGGAGCAGTTTATTTTAAAGGAGAAGATTTAACATGTGTGAATGTTAGGATAATTGGCAAAAATATTTCCAAATGAGATATTTAGGGCATCTTTTTTTCTTTTGAGACAGGGTATCACTCTGTCACCCAGACCAGAGTGCATAGCTCACTGCCACCTCAACTTTCCAGGCTCAAGCAGTCCTCCTACCTCAGCCTCTCAAATACACAGGCACATGCTGCCCTACTAAGCCTTCTTTTTTTTTTTTTTTTTTTAAAAGAGAGAGGGTCTCTCAGCTGGGTGAGGTGTAATCCCAGCACTTTGGGAGGCCAAGGCAGCTGGATCACTTGAAGTTAGGAATTCAAGACCAGCCTGGCCAACACTATGAAACCTTGTCTCTACCCAGATGTGGTGGCCAGCACCTGTAATCTCAGCTCCTTGGGAGGCTGAGGCAGGAGAATTGCTTGAACCTGCGAGGCAGGCAGAGGTTGCTGTGAGCCAAGATCGCGCCACTGCACTCTAGCCTGGGTGACAGAATGAGACTCAAAAAAAAAAAAAACAAGAAACAGAGACAGGATCTCCCTAAGTAGCCTAGCCTCGAGTTCCTGGGTTGAAGCAATTCTCCCACCTTGGTCTCCCAAAAGGTTATTACAGACATGAGCCACCATGCCCAGCCTAGGGCATATTTTTAAGCATTCTATTTATTATTATTATTATTTTGCTTATTTAGATTGATTCTATTGCACTTAACGAGAAATATAAACTTCTTGTTTGTTGCTGATACCTGACTCAAATGGTTTTAACCTAATGGCTGGTGAGTTAGAGGGAAGAAAGTGAACTTAAAAATACAGTATCTCTGGCCGGGCGCGGTGGCTCAAGCCTGTAATCCCAGCACTTTGGGAGGCCGAGGCGGGTGGATCACGAGGTCAAGAGATCGAGACCATTCTGGTCAACGTGGTGAAACCTCGTCTCTACTAAAAATACAAAAAATTAGCTGGGCACGGTGGCGCGTGCCTGTAATCCCAACTACTCAGGAGGCTGAGGCAGGAGAATTGCCTGAACCCAGGAGCCGGAGGTTGCGGTGAGCCGAGATCACGCCATTGCACTCCACCCTGGGTAACAAGAGCGAAACTCCATCTCAAAAAATAAATAAATAAGAAATACAGTATCTCTAGCAATGCATCTTTCCTGTGGAGCCAGTGCTAGAAACTAAAATGTTAATGGTTGTTTTTCCTAAGAAGCATTGGCATGAATGAACTGACACAGAAAAGGAGAAAGTATGTAACATGGCTGTTCTAGGCTAAATGATACTTATATTTTTAGTGTATTTGTTGGGGTATGCTTCTATAAAGAAAGGTGAAATTTGGTGGAGGGAGAAATTTAAAATTTCAGGTAGCATTAACATCCACTCATTTGATTTTCTCCAGCCACTTATTCCAAAGCCAGTTGTCTTCAAGTCTTGAAAATTCTGCCTTTTAATTTGTTCTCTATCCCCATTCACTGGCAAATGGAACTACTTATTTGCCTTTCTTCCTTGCCTACCACATAAGTCTTTTTTATCTTCGTTACTTCCAACAACTAACGCAGGCTCTGACACTGGGTGGCTGCTAAATGATTAGCATTGATGCTGGGAGGTAGAGATGTGTGTACTGGTGCAGTTTAACAGATGAGAAAGCTAAAGCTTCAGTGACTTACCTAAGTCTAGTAATGTCTAGGATAGGATTCAAACTCATGTCTTCTAGTACTTCTTCCAGTATTCCCTTTGTGAAACTATGACATATCTTCACAAAAATAGGATGAGTAGTTTCACTTCGAGAGTGGAAGGGAAAGAACTGCTTATGGTAAGACAATTCAGTTGTACGAATTGTCTGGAATTTGGCTTCCAACCTGCACAGGCAGTAAAAAAGAAGATAGCTATTCACAGTCAAAGTAAAAATTTTTCAAGAATATCAAATTACTTCACTTTACACAATAAAAAAAATTCTTGTGTAAAACACATATAAATTAAGTTGTAAGTTAAAGCCTCTCCCCCATTATTCTCCACTTCTCCTTATTTTGACTAATACAGATAATTTCAGAGCTAGTATAGACTCACACATTTTTAAACAAGAAATACTTAGGCTGAGCACAGTGGCTTTACACTTGTAATCCTACCACTTTGGGAGGCCAAGATGGGAGGATCACTTGAATCCAAGGGTTTGAGATCAGCCTGGGCAACATAGGAAGACCGTCTCTACAAAACACTTTTTTTTAAAAGCCAGGGCTGGACACGGTGGCTCACGCCTGTAATCTCAACATTTTGGGAGGCCAAGGCAGGTGGATTACCTGAGCTCAGAAGTTGGAAACCAGCCTGGGCAACATGGTGAAACCCTGTCTCTACTAAAAATACAAAAAACTTAGCTGAGTGTGGTGGCAGGCGCCTGTAATCCCAGCTCCTCGGGAGGCTGAGTCAGGAGAATCGCTTGAACCTGGGAGGCGGAGGTTGCAGTGAGCTACAATTGCATCACCATACTCCAGCCTGGGTGACAGAACGAGACTCTGTCTCAAAAAAAAAAAAAAAAAAAAAAAAAAAAGTCAGGCATGGTGGCACATGCCTGTAGTCCCAGGTACTCAGAAGCACAAGTAGGAGGATCACTTGAGACTGGGAGTTCAAGGCTAAGCACAAGTAGGAGGATCGCTTGAGACTGGGAGTTCAAGGCTACAGTGAGCTTTGATCATGCCACTACACTTCAGCCTGGGCAACAGAGCAAGACTGCCTCTTTAAAAAAAAAAAGAAAGAAAGAAAGAAAGAAAAGAAATACTTTTCTCTCTGCAAACATGTACATGTACCAAGGAATAATGAGTGGGTCTACGATACTTGAATGCCAGATATACTGTGTGGGTTCTGTGTATATATTGAATTTTTTTTATCCGAAGTAATCTTATCAAGACTCATACAAGGCTGGGCACAGTGGCTCACACCTGTACAAATCCCAGCACTTTGGGAGGCCGAGGCAGCCCAGTGGCTTGAGCTCAGGACTTTGAGATCAGCCTGGGCAACGTGATGAAACCATGTCTCTACAAAAATACAAAAATCAACTGGGTATGGTGGTGTGCACCTGTAGTCCCAGCTGCTTGGGAGGCCAAGGTAGCAAGATCACTTGAGCTCAGGAGGTGGAGGCTGCAGTAAGCTGAGATCACAGCACTGTACTCCAGCCTGGGTGACAGAGCGAGATCCTGTCTCAAAACAAATGAACAAAAAAGACATACAATTTTAGAACTAAACTTCAGAAATCACATAGTCCAGCCACCTCATTTTATACTTAAAATTACTGAGGTTGAGACATGTTGATTTATCTAATTAGTGACAAGACAGAGCTAGAACCTCCATCTAATCTTATCTCTATTACTCTTTGATCCCAAAGAAAACTTCTGCATAATGAATAATAACTTCCTGATGATTCTGTGGTATCTTCTTTGTGTTGTTTTTGTTGGATTTTCCTATGTGGCTTTTGTTGGAAGGAGGAAGATATATAAAATTCTTGATGTTAATAATTACAGTAGGATTCTGAGGTTTTGACCAAAGTCCAAGGAAACCTTCTAATGTTCTGCTTCTCCTGTTTCTGGTGTTGTGGAGAGTTTGATCCACATGAGACCTGCTTATATTGCTGTTCATGCTGCTGTTTCTGGCCTTCCAGTGCCCAAATAGCAGGAACTTTCTGTGATATTTTGAATTTTCATCTACTGACAAACCAGAAAATACAAGGCAGACTACCCACATGAAATTTATATAAGAGTTTGCAAGTAAAACTTGCCTCCAGTTTGCCTTTAAAGTAATATAGTGTTGTTCAGATGGTCAGATTTGCCCAAACATAAACCAGACTGCCTTTCCTGCCCCTGTCCCACCTACTACTCGCTGAAGTTCTGCTCTCTTGTTAATAGACCATTAATACTGTAGTAACAAAATGTAAATGCCCTAACTCTAAAGTGGTATGATGAGGCAGTATCTGGAGATCAGGACCAGATAAATATACTACACGGTTCACAGATGGCTTTTTAAATTGTTTTTCAAATGAGAGAAACACATATGTTTTTAAAACTCTTTTTAGTTTTTCCCACAAATATAATCATAATGAAACAGTCTGGGCATTATAAAAGAAGAAGCCCCAGAACTACCAAAGGCTGCTCTAGTCTGATTATTTCCTAAAAGTTCAAAGTTTTATAGGGAAACCCTGAAGCAACAGGATATAAGGATTGGCCGGGTGTGGTAGCTCACACCTGTAATCCCAGCACTTTGGGAGGCCCAGGTGGGTGGACGAGGTCAGGAGTTCGAGACCAGCCTGGCCAACATGTTGAAACCATGGCTCTACTAAAAATACAAACAGGCGCTGGGCTTGGTAGTGCATGCCTGTAGTTCCAGCTACTCGGGAGTCTGGGGCAGAAGAATCGCTTGACCCAGGGAGGCAGAGGTTGCAGTGAGCCGAGATTGCACCACTGCACTCCAGCCTGGGTGACAGAGCAAAACTCCATCTCCTATTTAAAAAAAAAAAAAAGAAGGATTTAGAGAAGCTGGGCACAGTGGCATGTGCCTGTGGTCCCAGCTACTTGGGAGGCTGAGGTGGGAAGATCACTTGAGCCCTGCTTGGGCAACATAGCAAGACTCCATATCTTTAAAAGAAAAAAAAAAAAAGCAGCAGCAGCACTTAGAGCTAATGGGAAGAGATAAAATATAGTTTATGGCACTTGAGCCTCTTCACTCTTCCAAAGCATAGTGAAGGTCCGGGGTCATTACCCCTAAAGTTAGGTTTTCTTTAGGTCTAACTAAAAAAGGCTTTGACTTTTGTTTTGTTTTTAGAACCTCACTGTCACCCAGTGGCATAAGCACGGCTCACTGCAGCCTCTACCTCTCAGGCTCAAGCAATCCTCTCACCTCAGCCTCCCAAGTAGCTGGAACTACAGGCATGTGCCACCACGCCTGGCTAACTTTTAAATTTTTTGTAGCGATGGCATATCATGATGTTTCCCAGGCTTGTCTCCAACCCATGGGCTCAAGCAGTCCTTCTGCCTTGGCCCCGCAAAGTGCTGGGATTGCAAACATAAGCCACCGCACCCAGCCTCAGCTTTTAACTTTATTGTTATTTGAGTTGCTTTTCATAGGCTTTGACCTTCTAGACTTTCTGACCACAGAAAGGTTATAAGTAGATGCCAGGTCTAAAACCCATTAGGAAAATCATTTACTCCACTACAAGGTTAGTTTTTTTTTTTAATTGTATGAAAGTCAAACCAATAATAATTTGGCCATACATCTAGAACTTTCAAAGGTTGAGGAATAATTTCTCTGCCAACAGTTGTATTAAGCATCGGAAGAAAGGGAGTGTCTAAACATTTTTTGTCACCTTCCTTAATTCTTCCTTTTTTAATGTTAAAGATAAAGAATTTACTTGTGTGAGAGACAGAGCAGATGCCGTTTACCTGCTCTGTCTCCTGACACTCCTAGCAGTGAAACAGAAGCTTTATAAGTTCAATGGCTTCTCAGGTCATTGAAGCCATCTCTGCCTCACGGAGGTCAGATATGGCCATGTGAATAAGCCTACCACTTATGAAGACAATTATTGAGTGAGAAATTGATAATAAAGACAATTCAGATTGAACCATCAAAACCAGTGGTGTACTTTAAAGGTTCTGTTAGTTCTTGAGTGTCCTATAGCTCCTTTAGGACTAGTATCTCAGCACCTTTATCATGTTGTCATAAGACAGTTCACATGCTTATAATTTACATGCTTTGCCTTTAAATCTTTTCTCTCCCATACCTAGGCATGTTTGATTATCATTCTTGCCAAAGCATTTAGGATATAAAGCTAACTGGCCGGGCGCGGTGGCTCAAGCCTGTAATCCCAGCACTTTGGGAGGCCGAGGCGGGTGGATCACGAGGTCAAGAGATCGAGACCATCCTGGTCAACATGGTGAAACCCCATCTATACTAAAAATACAGAAAAACCAGCTGGGCATGGTGGTGCGTGCCTGTAATCCCAGCTACTCGGGAGGCTGAGGCAGGAGAATTGTCTGAACCCAGGAGACGGAGGTTGCGGTGAGCCGAGATCGTGCCATTGCACTCCAGCCTGAGTAACAAGAGCAAAACTCTGTCTCAAAAAAAAAGATATAAGGCTAACCAAATCCTGGTTTTGGCCATGCTCTGAGCCCACATTGCTTCTGTAACCTCAAGCCTCTGTACCTCATTAGGGGTTTGGGGCTTTATTTTGAAGCCTCCCATGTACACACAATAAATAAATGTACGTGCCTTTTCTCCTATTAAAAAAAAAGATGGCTAGCAGGAGTGCCATATTTACAACTCCTTTTCATTTTTCATAGGCTCTTTTATGCTTTACCCTACAGTGGATAATCATGCAATATAAAAATACTACAGGGCCAGACGCAGTGGCTCACGCCTGTAATCCCAACGCTTTGGGAGGCCAAGGCAAGCAGATCACTTGAAGTCAGGGGTTTGAGACCAGCATGGTCAACATGGCAAAACCCCATTTCTACTAAAAATACAAAAATTACCCATGCGTGGTGGCACACGCCTGTAATCCCAGCTACTTGGGAGGCTGACTGCAGAAGAATCACTTGAACCCTAGAGGTGGAGGTTGCAGTAAGCCGAGATGGCGCCACTGCACTGCAGCGTGGGTGACAGAGTGAGACTCCATCAGATATAAATTAATACATAAATAAATAAAGCAAGCAAGCAAGCTATGGGAACTTAGTAACAATTGTTGCTTTTGAAGACTGGTTAATGAAGGGAAAACTCATTCTCCTTGAGTTTAGACACACATTGCCTTTCGAGCTGAGTACTTACCTTGTCATAAGCCGGCTGTATTCCATAGCTATTTACACAAAGACTCACTTAAATA